GAAGAGGTGGGGGTGGGTCTCCAGGAAGAGAGCAGCCCAGGAAGGAGCTGTCAGGACACCACAGACAGTAGGATGTGAGGTCCCGCCGCAGCCTCTGCCCCCAGAGGCCTTGAAAGGGAGGCGGAGACCTTCAGGGCATCCAGAGGGCTGGTGTGGGCTCTGGACTGGGAGCTGCGTGGAGCTCGGGTTGCCAAGGCAACTGCTTCTCAGCTCTTAGGAGCAGAGGGAGGAGGCCAAGGGCGCCCAGGGAAGACCCTGGTGAGGGGCTACAAGGGCGAGCTCTGGGGGTGATTCCACCTCTCCAGGCTCAGGTTGCCTGTGCCAGAGGTCTCTGGGGCTGAGCTTCGGGGGCCATGCACCCCACTGCCCAGGAGCCCTGAAGGTCCCAGACTCAGCACGCCTGAGGCTCTGGGCCAATGGGGTTCCTAGGGCCTAACATTGCCCGCACTCACTCATCCAGGAGAGGGGATCTCAGCTGGGCCCGCGGCTGCCCTCGCTGGAGCCCAGCGAGGCAGGAGCTGTGGCAAGCGGGGAGCTGCGCTGGCCCCGGAGGGCACCCAGAGGGCAGCCCCTCAGAGCCTGGCTGCTGCTGGTGAGTCCCAGGTTGCCCGTAGGGTGCTGAGACAGGCACTGTCACCTGCCCCTGCTGTCCCCTGCTTCCCAGGCCCGGTCTGGCCTCCCCTGCCACCTTCTTCCCCTCTGTGGCCCCAGGAAGGGCACAGCCAGTGTGTTGAGTGAACGACTGCACGCTCTCACCTCTTGCCACCGCCCTGACTCAGAACATTTAGAACAGTGCCAGTACACTGCCTCCAGGCCTGGAGGGTCACGGTGCAGAACACATGGGGGCTGCAGTGGCCCTGTGGCTGCCCTTGTCCTGGTGGCATGAGGGCAAGAGGGGTCATGGGCCAGGGCCAAACACAGGAAGGAGCCAGTGGGCAGTGGGGTTCCCAGGAGGGAACATGAAGGCCAAACTGTACCCCAAAATCCCTGAGGCTGTGTCCCTGGGGAGGAAATGGATTCAGCCCCAGCTGGAGTGCTCAGCAGCCTGGCCACCATTCCCTGCCCCCAGCCTCAGCCCTGTGGTCAGTGTCCCCCTTAGCACCCATGCCCCCAAGCCCCTCCCCTCTGCCAGCCTCCTTCCAGCACCCAGGCCAGCACTGGGGACTGCCCTTGTATGACCACTGGGGTAGTCCCAGAGTTCCCTGGGCTATCTTTCACTCTGCCACCCCTTCTCTCTGATGAGCTGTCCCTGACCTCCCTCCCTGGAACTGGGGGGCTAGTGCCTTTTCCTTCTCATCTCCCCCAGGAAGGGGGTATATGTGCCCTTGCCTGGGTGCCTGTCATGGGCTTACTTGGACCCCTTGTACCCACCCCAGCTGCGCCCCCCCAGCACCAAGGATTTTAGATATTCTCAGCCCCTTCTGCAAGTCTGCCAGGAGCACCAGCGGATGATACTGGCAGTGCACGTGCCAACTCTGGGACACACCTGACCCACTGACAGATGAGGACATGGCATGGCCCTGCTGATTTCTGGGAGCCTTGGTGCCAGGGTGGCCAGGCTGGGCACAGTGGGGCAAGGCCTGCCTGGACCAGGGCAGCAGTGTCTCCTGCCTTACCAGGCCTGGCCAGGACCTCGGCCCCTGCTGTGGCCCAGGCCTGGCAAAGCCCTCCTTGCTTGGTACTTTGAAGCAGAAATAAAGGTGCTTCCTCGTGGCTAGTGGGCATGCTGAGCAGTTTGGGTTCCAGCGTGCCAGGAGGGTCCTGGTGCATGTTTGGTGTGCAGGGTGGCAGGGTGCAAAGATTCAGGGTGCACCGTCAAGGGCCGTGACATTTACCGCCGTGTCACTGCTCACGACGCTCTCCTCTGCCTCTGCTGGGGCTGCCCAGGGGGACCAGCCGCTGCTAAGGGGCCTCCTTGCTGCTCCTCGGGAGCCACCACGCTGGCCACAGAAACCCTGTGAGATGTTGGGATGTGAAGCACCTCCTCCTGTTCCCTCAAGACTCTTGTTCCTCCAAGGGGGCCCATCAGCAAGGTCCAGCGGCCTGCCCTGTGGCAGGAGGGGGCCGGCTTGGAGACAGAAAGCTGATTACTGTCCAGGGTCCCCTCTCCCAGCCTGAGCCCTGTCCTTGACCAACCTGAGGCAGACCTAAGGACACTGCAGTCGCACAGGTCTGCTCAGGTCCAGCCCTTGAGTGGAGATGGGGACCTGGGCCCCTCATCTCCTGGTGGCCCACTGGATAAGACCCTCCGCAACCCCCAAATGCTAACCCATGGGTCCTCCGCAAGCCACAGCTTAGCAGAGGTGTGGGGCTCCAGATGTCTTTCCTGTGGAGAGGTGTGAGTAGGGGTGTTAGAGCAGGATGGCTGTGAGGGGAGGACGAGGGCGGGGGGAGCAGACCATGCTAGGAAGTGTGGCCTGCATGGGGTGCGGGGTGACACTTGGATGAAGGGCGCGGGACCGGCAAGCACAATGTGGGGTGGTGAGACAGGAATTGTACCCCTAGTCAAACATGATGCAACTCGGGCCGGTCCACGCCACGCTCAGCTGGGCTCGCCACCTCTTAGTCACAAGGGGAACAGATCCAGTCTCCAACCTGGTACCGCAGGGAGCCGAGTGTACAGGATTAGAGCAGCCGGGGCCCCGCCCCTACCCGCGACCTGGACGCGCCCTTCGGCTCCCTCTGGCGGCGGCCGGGGTCACTGCAGAGGGGGAAATTAATTGGGGTGGAGGGCTGAGCAGTCTGCGGCGAGCACCCGCACGCCTGGGACCTGGCTGCAGAGTGGGTGAATCCGCCGCTGCGCCATCTGATTCTGGACCAGACATCCCAGCTTGCTACTGCCATCGCCAACTACCCGAGGACAGGCAGGCATTTGGGGGTCCTCCCCACCCTGTCCTACCTGTGAGCCAGTTGCTCAGCAAACACGTTTAGTCCCACTGACACCCCCACTTTACAGCGCAGTAAATCGAGGCCCAGAGACAGAGCTGCCTCTCCTTCTCAATGACCCTCACTTTGCCTTTTCCTGACCCTCAGATCAGCCTATCCCTGGCCTCTGAGATGAGGCCGGGACTTTTCCACAGGGATTTTATTGAGAAAGTTGGGGAAACCACATAGAAATAGAATAAAAGAAACCCGGCTTGGGCGGACCTGAGGTGCTTCTGGGATCCTGGCACTCGGGAGCAGCCCCCACCCAGACCCTGGGCACACAGGCTGCTCTGAGGCCGGTGACTGCATGGAGGAGCCAGGCCCTGGTGTGACCCGGGTGCCCACCGTGTGCCATGAGGCGGTCACCTGGGAAGTCCCTTGGGCCAGCAGCTCTGTCTCTTGAGCTGTGACAGCAGGATGCACTGAGGGAAAGAGCCCGCAGTAGGGCCATGACCTCTCGCCTACAACTGAGATACTGAGACATGTACACACATGCACGGGCGCGCACCTGCACACACACACACACGTGAATGCACGTGGGGGAAGCAGGCGGAGCGACCAGCACCTCAGGGGGTCAGCTGCAAGGTTGCTGGAGGAGGTGCCAATGAGGGTCTGTGTGTGGGCGGCTGTGGGGGCCGCAGCGTGCCTAGTACCCTCCAGCGTGTTACTGGCTGAATGCTGCTGTGCCCCATCTCATGTTGAATTCTGGACTCCAGACCTCATTCAGAAGTAGGGTCTTTATTTTTTTGCTCCGAATGCCTTCAGGGCAGGTTTGGCTGGCTTGCGTTGTGGGGATGGAACCACAGCAACCTGAGCCTGACTGCTTTGTAGAAGCAGCCACTCAAAGAGCTGAGCTAAGGGGCAGGCCCCAGAAGTAGGGTCTTTAAAGAGGCCCTAAGTTAAAATGAGGCCATTCAGGTTGCCCTTCACCCAGTATGGATGGAGCAGGGCACAGGGGCACCCATGACAATCCCAGACAGGTGGCTGCTTGCAACCAGCAGTCCAGCTCTGCCACACTGTGACTGCAGCGTCCAGTCAGGGCTGCGCTGGGGACGCCCAGCTCCCTTAGGTGGGACAAGCCTGGAGCTGTCCCTGTGGGCTTTCCCAGGATTCTTTGCCAGAGTGCTTGAGGTGGACTCTGCCTCAGGAAGGCTGGGCTGCCTCTCTTAAACTCCGGTCTGACTGGCTGCCGCATTCCCAGAGCCTCTGACTTGAGCCATCCTCTGCAGTCGCAGTGTCTTCCCTCATTACTGAGGGTCGCAGGCTCCTGCAGGCAGCTCCCAGCTGTCCCCAGTGCATCCTCAGGAACCACCTCATCCAGGGCCTGTGTCTCAGCGGAAGCAGGGCTCTCAGAGCTTTGCGGACAGGCACATCGGTGCCCCTTCCCTGGAGAGAGATCTCCTAGGCCCCATCCCAGGAGGCACAGGTAGATATCCCCCCTTCCTCGGGACTGTCTTCTATCCCTCCACATGTGGTCAATTACCTGTGTAGAGCTGCCGGGATCAAAGTTTGGCTCAGCCTGGGCTGGGAGAAAGGCCCAGACTTTCCTGAAAGTGAAAGGTCGGGGGGTGGGGCAGGACTGCAGGCTGGGAAGTCCCGGCCTTGGCCACTAGCTGAGGCGGAGGTGGTGCCCAGGCTTCTCGGAGGTCCCATGCGTGACCGGCTTCCCCAGTGCCCTGTGCCTGGCCAGGACCCACTCACCCGGGAGGCTCGTGGGGCAGGTGGGACAGGAGCACAGGGCGGAGACAGCGGTAGTGCGGCGAAGCTCTCAAGGGCCCAAGACTGTTCCAGCTCTGCCAGTGGCCTTCCTAGGACGGCCGCTGTGTGGTAGCTCAGGAGGCACAGGTACGCTGCAACCCAGTCCCACCAGGGGTCTTCAAGGGACGCCTGTCACCTGCCCCCTGGCTCCAGGCGGGCAGGGTCAGCCTGCTCCCTGCTTCAGGGCCTGCAATTACTCCTGTCATGGGAGAAGGTGCCCCAGGCTGGGACTGTGGCCAGAACAGGTGTGGACTGAGTGCTGGGGAGGGGCCACTTCTGTGGAGCCTCGGGGAGGTGGCAGCTGGACAAAGTGAGGGTGAGGTCGCCAAGGGCCCAGACAGCAGCCTGTGCAAAGGTGAGGCTCCGTGTTGGGAGGAGGACAGCAGGTGAGGCACCAGGCCTGGAATGCCGAGGAAAGGGGGACTGAACTTTGGGGGTGCAGGGGGTTGGGCTTTGCGGCTCCTGCGAAGGGAAGCACTGTGCATCTTCTTTCCTGCTGTCTTAACTCTTCCAGGCAAACACTGAACAGTGTCAGTGAGACACATGTCCTTGTTCCTGTCCTTCCTTTAGGAGATGATGTATAGCTCATAAAGGAAGCTTTCGAGGCAGTCCTAGGGTCCAGCAGGCCCTCCCTGACTGCTCCCAGGAGACAGCATCTGATTGGGGCAGGCAAACAGTGAGGGGTGGTGAGCAGGTGGTGGTGGGTGGCAGCGGGGAGGTCAGCGGGGCCACAGCCTACACAGGGCATGGCCCGGGTACAGCCAGTTGCCTGCAGTGCAGCAGCTATTTCTGACTGGGGCTTGAACCGAGGGCCTTCACACTCAGCTATACCCCCATCCTTTTGTGTATTTTTCATTTTGACACAGGGTTTCACAAAGTCACTTAGTTGCCCCGGCTGGGTTGGAACTTGGGACCCTCCTGCCTCAGCCTCCCAGAGCAGCCAGGGAGACTGGAAGTGGGATAGGTGCTATGGCAGAGGGAGGTCCAGGAACCATGGGGTAGAGACAGGCTGGGATAGGAGGGTGAGTGATGTCCAAACCTGGCTTCCCGCTCAGAGCCTGAGTAGTTGGGGCAGGCATTCCTATAGATCATGCTTTGGCGTGACCTCTGGCCGGTCCTGCAGTGCTGTGGACCCAACCTGGACAGAGTGGGACTGGGGCTGGGGACTACAGTGTCATGGGCGCAGGCCACACTGAGCCCTGTCAGGGCTGCTGCCTCCCAGCACTCAGTCATGGGGACACAGAACAGGAAGAGAGCCCCACAGGTGCAGCCAGAGGGGAGAGGCTTGGCTGGGGACCCCCAGATGGGGCTAGTGGGTGCCAGCTCAGCAAGTGACCAGCCTGGTGAGGGGTGGGCATCCCTTGTGCAGGACAGTGCGCTGCTCCCCAGCTGTGTTCTAGGCTAGGAGGCACAGGACGGGAAGGTGGCTGACCCCTGCAGGGACAGCCCTGAGTGGCTCCAGGCAGAGCCCCGAGGACGCTGGGGAGGTGGCCACGTGGTTGTCCTACAGCCCCGTCAGATGTGGGAGCAGAGTTACGGAGGTCATGGGGGTTGGAGCCACTGGAGGAGGCCGAAGGCAGCCGTGCAGGTCGGCAAGGCTGAAGGGCTGCAGATGCGATTATCAGAGCGCCTGAGGGGAAAGCTTGTGGACAGTCAAGCTGGAGGGCTCTGAATGTGGGCAGTGGGAGCAGGGAGGGCCACAGGCCCGGCTGAGCCCCAGTCACTAAAGGCCTTCTGCGAAGGCAGAATGAGCCCTGGTCCCACCCGCCCCCAGCGTGAGCTGGGCAGACTGAGGTAAGCCCTGACCCTCCCACCTTGGCTTCCCTAATGGTGACGCAGGACCTGTGACCCTCCCCCCAACACCGACGTCCTGGGGACCTGGTGTGCATCAGGTGCAGCACACAGGAAGAGGCACTTACTAAGTGTGACCTCCTTGCCACCAAACCAGGCCTGTCACTGATCAGCGTTCCAGGAGGTTCTCAGAGAGAAGAGCCCAGGCCCGCTCTGTGCCTGCGATAAACTGCCGTTCACTGACTTCCATCACAGCAGAAATCACAAGATGCATCAGCGAGAGGCACAAGGGATTCATTAGGCAGAACTGTTCTGTTTTGTTCTTTTGGAGGTCAGGCTATTCTTTTTGTTTGTTTTGCTTGGTGGAACCGGGGATTGAACTCAGGCCCTTGCACTTGCCAGGCAAGCACTTATTCTACTGAGCCATCTCCCCGGCCCCATGGCTACTCTTGAACTTAAGGCGATACTCCTGCCTCAGCCTTCTAAGTGCTGGGATTATAGGTGTGTACCACCATGCACTCTCTGTGCACTTACAAGTTGTGTGAGCCCTTGGGAGAGGCGCAAGGTCCTGGCGGGAGCATGCTTCTGCTTGAAGAGGGGCTGAGAGGCTCACAGCAACGGAAGAACAGTGGTCCATTTTAGAGCTAGGAGCCGTTTTTCTCTTTTAAGATGGGCAATGAAAGCATTCTTTGAGTTTCTTTATCTTCTGATCAGTTCCTGCTCCATCAATTAACCCTGAGAATCAGAAATGGGTGGCCTCGCGAGGCCCTGACTGCACGCGGAAGCCGCCGCCCTCCTAACAGGTTGTCTTCGTTGTGGCTTTCCTTACCCCCTCCTACACACCTTCCCTTCCTGTGTCCGGCCTCAGGCCCAGTCTGCTTCCAACAGCTGTGCTAGGGGGTCAGAGCCCCACAGGGCGGAAGTAGCTGAGGCTGTCTGTAAACTTTCTGACCAGGTGACAGGCCTGTGACAGGCATCGTGGGAGCCCAAGGGCAGAGGCAGGGGAGGCCATCTGGGCAACGCCCTCCACATGTGGGTCAGGCCTGAAAGGGGCAGTGTCCCTGGACCCTGGCGCCAGGGCAGGGCAGTGACCTGTGACCGGGGTGGGGCTGATAAGGTCCCGTCAATCCCTGGGTCCAGCTCCCTGGCTAGGCCTCCTCCCATCCTCCAAGGGCCTCCAGAGCCCGAGGAAAGCAGCCCAGGTGGCCCCAAGGACAACGTGCAAGTGGTGTGGATGAGCTCAGCCCCCCCGGGCACCCCAGAGAACCAAGGCTTGGAGAGGGGTAGCCCCATGTCCCCAGGGTCTGGCACCGGCTCCAGCCTGGGCTTTGTGCGGAGCCTGGGTGGCAGGGGTCTAGGGGGGCTCTGGGGGCCCTGTCGCTTCTCTGTGACTGAAGCAGCGCTGGCCCTTTTTCGGCTTCAGTTTCTCTAAGCATAAAGTGAGACCTCGGTGGCCAGCTCCCTCTCCCACTCTGACCTGGTTTGCACAGTGTGGTGGGCAGGAGCTCTCAGGGCCGGGATGTCCTCTCCTTCCTGCCCTGCCCTAGTGAAATCCAGAAGAGCAAACAGCCAGGCCCTAGTAGACCCATTCCCCTGGGTCCCTGGTCTCACTCTGCCCAAGAGCAGGGTTGCGAGAGGGAACAACACAGGAAGCGCCCCAGTCCCAGTTAAATATAGACCCCCTGCTCTTCCTGCCACCTTCCCTGGGGTGATGTGGGCTGTGGGAAGGGCCGGGTGGTCCTGGCCTGTGGCTCTGTGACAGTAGGCAGGGGTGAGCTCTGCAGAACCCTTGCATTCCTGCAGAAGCAGTCAGCCTTTTGGGGGAAGGGGTGAGCTGGGGATTCTGGGGAGCAGGGCAGAGCAGAGGCTTTGAGGGATAGCTGGGGCATCTGAACCTGAGAAGGCCCAGATGTGGTCACTGAACCCTGCCCTCCTTGTGGGCTGAGGGTAGAGCTGGGCACGAGAACCCACAATGCAGCTCCTTCCTCCAGCTCTGTAGGAAGTTGGGTCTGGCAGATGGGGTAAGGTAGGCACCTGGGGAGGACCCCTCTGGGGGTGTTTTCAGCACAAATTCCTGGATGGAAGAAGTACCCGAATCCCAGTGCCCACCTGCAGTCAGGCACGGTGCTCTGGGCAGGGTATGGCTCTCCTCTGATGCCTCCATTCTGAAGCTTAGGATAGTACTGCTGCCAGAAAGCCTTCCCTGATCAGCGCATGGCTCTGGTTGAGCCCCTGGGACTCCTGTCTGTTCAGTGGCACCAGGGTGCCCCCCAGGCCTTCTGAGTTTCTTTCTCACCCCCAGATCTCCTGTTGCTGAGATGCTTTCACCACGGAAGGCGACCCCCAGACCTGAGCCCCAAAGCTCCCAGGAGCCTGGGGAGCCGATGACACCAGCATGGGGCCCTCGGCCATCAAACACTACAGCGGAAACCAAGGACCAGCGCAGGACCACCATGCTGGGCACACTCCGGCGGGCCTGGTCCTGGGCAAGCCCGCGGGGCCCCACCCAAGCTTCTAAGGAAGACCCTGGCCGGCGCCACCAAACCTCTCGGCGATTCCTGCCCCCGTCCTTGCGGCGAGCAGTGGACAAGAGCCCAATAGTGGGTCAGTGCCAGGTCGCAGCTGTGCCAGAGGAGCCCCCTGTGGTCACGGGTGGTGATGTCAGCCAGCAGGCAGCATCACAGATGGGGCCTGAGGAACTGCAGCCCAAGGCAGGTGAGGGCTTCATGGACCACATTAAGGATGAGGGAAACTGAGGCTGGGCAGGCAGCAGCTGAGCTCAGGCTTCCCAGCTCTCCCATACCCTTTTCCAGGACTCAAGTTCTCCTAGCATCTCATCAACCCCCAACCCCATGGGGCTCTGAGATGTGAAGTGACTTGAGTCTGGTGCTGGGATTTGAACCTGCCTCTCTGCCACTGTAGAGGTTGAGCACCTGGGGTGGGAGAGTGGGAGGGAGAGGGCAGAGCAGCCGAGATGTCGACCCTGAACAGCGGCAGGTGGCAGCCGAGGCACTGAAGGACATGCCCAGCCTGAGAGCTGAGCCTCCTGAACCTGCAGAAACTGGGGCTGCACAGGAGGCCAGACGAGGGCGCACGGGGAGTAGAGGCAGGGCTCTGGGTGGACCCAGGTTCTGCCTCTTGAGGCCTGGGGAATCTGGGCTGGGCTCACAGACCTAGGACAGGTACCTGTCATTGCCCCTCTTGTCACTGAATCTGCAAAAGGCAAATCCGTGGCCGATCTCATCACTGAGCGGCAACTGCTGGCGGCGTTCGAACAGCTGCGAATCCTGGAGACGAGGCTGGTGGCGGAGAAGACCTCCAACCCCGGTGAGGACCCCACGGGCTACGCGCGGCGCGCCATGGACCTGTGCCTGCACTACGACGCGCTGGCAGCTGAGCTGGGCGCCATCGTGCTCGAGACTCTGGGCCCCGAGGGCGTGCCCGCGGCCACGCTGACCGAGCTGGCCCGCGTGGTGCGCGCGGAGGAGGAGGCCCACCCGGAACCGCCAGCCGACCGCGACTTTCTGCGTGTCCCGCGCCACTGGCGCAGGCGCTGGGAGGACGCGGTGCGGCGGAGCGCGCAGGGACGTGTTCGGGGGGCAGGCGCGAGCACCACCCCTGGGGCCTCAGGGGGCGAGCCCGGCCTGGCCCAGCTTCTGGCAGAACTCGGTGGCGTGGTTCGCGGTGACCTGCAGAAGGTGTGCCAGGAGGTGCAGCCCGCGTACGAGGCCGGCGGCCTCCCTGCGTGGGAGACCTACCTGCGCGCCTTCCACAGTGCGGTGGCCCAGCGCCTGCAGGAGCTTGCGCCCGCTGCCCGCAGCTGTGAGCAGCTCTACCTCCTGCTGGACTGGGTCGCCAACATCTACGGCAGGTGAGGCCCGAGGTGCACCGCCCACCCCGGGCTTGGGAGACTCGCTCCCAGGAGCACAGCGCAGTCTCTTCTCCGCCCACCCTCGAGAGGGTCGCTGAGGGGACCCCAGAGACCTGGGACTTTGCCACGCTTCCTTTCGGGTGAGGCGTTGATGTGCTCCTGCTCCAGATTTTCCAAAGGGCCATCGCGCGGGTTCCCAGCTGAGCAGGTGCCTGTGCCAGCATTGAGGGTGCCTCTCAGGGCAGGGCACCTGTGGCCTCACCTACTTCCCTGTGGATGGGCACAGCGAGGGACTGCCCTTCGCACTCTGTGCTGTGTCACAGGCCTCCGGGATGAATGGTCAGGGCCCACGGGCAAAAGTGGGCTCCCTGAGTACCTCTGGACGGTGACTGCGGAGCAGTGTGATGTTGGGGGGCTTGCACCAGGCTGGGGTGCTCGTCAAGCGAGTGGTGGAGGTCGCACAAGGCTGCTCGGCAGGGGCCTATCTGGACAGTTCCTTCAGCAGGCTGAGCATAACAGCTGGTGGTCCGAAATTGGGGGTGGAGGGTGATGGCCCCGAGAGCTTGGGCTGCAGCTAGTCTGCAGCTGCTCTGTAGACGTGGGGGCAGCAGCGGCTGCGACCCCGCCCTCAGCATCGCATCGCCTTCCAGTCCCGACTTCCTGGACGCCTGGGACCTGAGGCTACCTGAGGAGCCGCTGCCTCCGCTCCTATCACCGGACGTGTGGGCACAGCTGGAGAGCGATTACACGCGCTTCCTGGAGGTGGGGCCCGCTCCTCCAGCGAGGCGGAGCAGGGGTGTGGGCGGTTGAGCGGCCTGGCCTGTGACCCGGCAAGGTGGTCTTCGTCCCCATGGCGCAGGACGCCTCCTGGGAGGTCTCACCGGGCCCATCTGTCCCCCTAGAGCAAGATCGAGGGCTGCTTCGACCGCATCTTGCAACTGGAACAGAGCCGCTGGGCGGCGGCCGAGGCCCCCGAAGTGCTGCGGGGTCACTACCAGGCTCCGCTGTCCACGGACATCCACATGGTACAAGGCGGTGACCTCCGGAGAGATCATTCCCGGGACTGGCGGGCCCTCAGGGAGCTGGGGCGGGGGCCAGGGCCCCCTAGGCTCCCGGGAAGGCTGCTGAGAGCTAGGGCAAGACGCGCGGCAAGAGGGGTGGGCTGGGTCGGTCGCCGGCCGCCAGGTGGCAGAGCCTGCACCGGGCCGGGACCGCAGCGCTCAGCCGTGTGTCGCCCCCAGCTGGTGGCGGAGCACGCAAGGGCAGCCAGAGCCATCTCCGCGGAGCTCGAGGCCACCACCCTGAGGATCTGCGCACGCACGCTCCGCCTCTTCGTGCCCAGGTGCAGGAGGAGGCGGGAGAGAGGGGTGGGGGGACGGTGTGTAACCCCGAGGGTCAGAGCGCTACACCCGCAGGAAGAGAGGGCCTCAGCGCGCGGCTTGGAGTCTGGGCGGGAAGCGGGCGGGAGCAGAGTCCGAGGTCTGCGTGCTGCCCCGCCCAGGTTTGAGAACGCCTTGCTGGAGTCGGTGGCGGCGTCGAGCGCGCCCCACTTGGGCGCCTCCATCAATGCCTGCGAAGACCTCAGGTAAGGCATGCGCCTGCGCCGCACCGCCAGAAGGGGGCGCGCGAGCCCTGAGAACCAGGGCGGTGGCGGAGTGGGCCTGCGTGATGGACCAGGCGCTCAGTTTAGTGCTGTGGAGAAGCCTGAACCTGGGTGGCAAGGAGCTGATCCCTTCCCAGTGTGGCCCGTCCTGACACCTTCAGGGACCATGCCCTTCCTGCCCCACTCCTGGCACAGCGCCTTCCTCAGCCCACCAGAGCTGGTCCCTGGCTGTCACAGGCCAAGGGGTCCCTGGCCCCATCCCTGTGGCCTGGGTCTCTTTCCTTGCTTCCTCCCAGCCAGGCTTTTCCCCGTGTGGGCAGAGGCCTCCTGACACCGCACCTGGGTGGGCGGACCGTGGGGCAGGTCCCTCTGTCCCTAGTGTCCACCTCTGCAGATGTGCCTGCTGCTGAAGGGAACGCCAGCTCAGGACCACGCTGGGCTCAGATCCTCACACTGCCAGGAACGAGGCACTTGGTCTCTGTCCCTCTTTGCTCTACTGACACCTGGGGCTGAGCCTCTGCCCCCAGGCTCCAGGCTGTGGAACTCAGAGCCTGGGAGGACCTGGTCCCTGTTGGCCCTGTGCCCCTGTTTCTCTGGGAAAGGGGGCCTGGGGCAGTAATGACACCCCCAGCCATGCACCCAGCAAACCAACCAGGTGCCTTGCCTCCAGCATCTGGCTCCTCTGGGCTGAGGGCTGAGGAGGCAGCAACGGGTCCTCAGCATTCTACGCTGTGTCTGCGTCTGGCCTCAGCTTCCTCAACAGTGAAATGGGGACTCTGTCACCTTGGAGGGCAGGGATGGAGCTAAAGGAGGCTCTGTGTGGAGACAGCCAGGCTGCGCTGTCCTACCACCAAGAGGCATGGAGGGGTACCCTGGAGCTGCCAGAGGGAAACTGCCAGAGTGGGGTCACCCCACTGACCTACCCCTCTACGACTACTCCCAGGGCTTCATTGCTGTCCCTCACTTGACTGCCCTCAGGGCTACCACATTGTGGTACTCTAGGACTGTCCTTCACAGTATAGTCTAAATGAGTCACGCTGATACCATGCCCAGCCTGCAGGATTTGTGCTGCACCTTGCTCCCCAGCTTGCCCCCTCATGCCTACTTAATCACTTGTCCGGCCCTTCACCAGGACCAGTCTTCTGGCCAGGTTCCCAGGAACCCTGGAGGAGTTGGAAAAGCCCCTGGTGGCCGCTGTCCAAAACTTCCAGAAGCACTTGCTCCAGGGCTTTCAGTGTGATGTGCAAGTGAGTGGGGCGGAGCTTCCTCTTCCACCATCTGTGCCCAGCAGGCGCCTTCTGTTCCCTGGAGCCCAGGGCCTGGGCCCATTTCAGGGACGTGTGCTGGGACGGAACGGGGACCCAGCTGTCCCAGCTCGGCAGGGTCATTTGGGAAGCACCTGCCTTCCAACTGCAGTTCCACTGTCCGGGCCCAAGTGGGGTGGTGGCCCAGAGTCCCTCACAACACCCCTCCAGGTGTCCCGAGGACACATAAGTGTTACCTGAATAGGAGGGGATGGCACCATGGTGCCCAGTGGGGTCAAAAGGGTGCGCTTACTCCCACACCCCATCCCCAGCCACTCTTCAGGTTTGTGTGTATCAAGAACTGGCTGACACAGGACACGCTGTGTCCCCTCATGGACAAGGTGAAGGCCTTTGCACACCACCTCACACTTGTGGCCTTGCCGGTGGCACAGGTATTGCAGGGCCGGGTTCTGAGCCAGCAGATGCCCAGGACTCAGTCTTTGACTGCAGCCGTGACCTTGATACCTCCTTGCAGGAGACACTGCAGGAGGTGCATAGGTTCGTGGTCCGGGAGTACCTGGTGCAGGTGCTGAGACCAAACGTGCGCTTCCAGGGTGAGGAGCGTGTGCGTGGCTCTCAGCGGATGAGCGAGGACGCACAGACCATCAGCGAGACCTTCCAGGACTTGGTAGGAGCAGCGTCCATCCCCAGAGGACTTGCTTCTGACTCTGCCTAGAGAGTAGCAAGTGGTGGCACAGGGGGCAGTGGCTGCACCCTAATTCCGCCCCCCTTTCCACTAAGAGAGGCCCAGTGGGGGTGGGATGAGTGGAGGGTGCACTTGAAGACATTGGCATGGTTTGGGGGCTTACAGGAAGGACAGAGGGATGCGGGGCTCCCCTCAGGCTGCTGTTCCAGGCACATTTCCCACTCAGGCTTGGGCTGTCCCATCTGTACAACATGAGGACAGAGGACACTGATGCTAGCCCTGCAGCAGGGAAAAGCCTGTAGCCCTGGATCTCCATCCTCCAAGCCTGCTTGTCTCCTTAGGGTTCTGAAGCCACATGGCTGAACCAGGCCATCCCATGCGTGGCTGAGATCCTAGGTGAGACGTACAAAGATGACATCCAGCGCCACCTGGAGACACTCATCCGGAGCTTCCCGGACATCAGGTCTTCAGCCTACCTGTGCCCGCAGTGAGAGCCTGGGATGCACTCCCGGTGCAGAGCACAGGCAGACGGAGAGGGAAGAGCATGTTTGGTGGGGTCAGATGGGGCTCAAGTCCTGCATGGACCTGTGTGGGGCATGGAGACCCAGCTGTATGTGTGAGGCACCCCCAGGCCAGAGGGCAGAAGAGGCGTCCCTGCACATTCTCTGGACCATTCTTCCAGAATGGTTGGCACAGGCTCCTCCCCTCGGGCAGGAGGCACATGCTCCCTGGAGGCAGGGGGCAGGTGTTACCCCCACCCCAACAGCAAGCTCTAGCAAGAGTGGGAGAAGGAAGCTTTGATCCCAGGGTGGAGGGGCACTGTGAGTCATCAAAGCCCATGGAAATCCCGTTCAACCCTCCCTGGAGCTTGGACATTCCGGAATGGGGAAGCCACAGAAAGCCCCTAGCTAGCCCCTTCCCTGGGCCTGGAGAGTTCCCTGCTCCAGTCCCCTGGGTGGGTGGTCTCCCAGGGTGTAGCCCAGAGGTGTGCCACAGGGTTCCCCGGCCTGGTGCCACCCTGTCCTCTGGGACTCCCTGGGTATGTGTGTGCCTGTCCCCTCCCCTGTGTGGCCTGTGCCTCTGAGGCCCTGCCACCCAGTGCTGCAGCCCAGAGTCCCCACTGCCTCCTCTGGAGTGCCCTCCTGACCCCAGCTCCCAGCCTCCCTGACCAGGCTCCAGGAATGCTGGGTGACTCATACTTCCGCCAAGCCCAGGGGTTCCCGGCATTCGGGAGAGGCTGGGGTGTCAGGGAGTGTGCTCTCCATGTGCCCATCTCCTTTCCACAGGCGCAAGCATGTGCTGGCCATCCTGGCGCTGCGAAGACTGGGCCGCCGTCGGAACCAGCACCTGCTACAGCACGCACAGGACCTGCTGGGGGCTGGGACTAGGGCCCGAGGCGTGGGGTCTACCCACAAGCGTGTGCTCTTTGAGGAGATACTGGTGCCCGTCTCTGTGGATGTGCTGACCACCTGCATCTAGTGCTCCCCAAACACAGAAGGCACCCCAGCATCCTTCCGTAGGCCTACACCCTGAGCTAGGAGCCCTGGAAGTCAGCGGGGGCCTGCACCCAACCGTGCAGTGCAGAGTCGCCCGTGGAATATTTATACTGGGCCACGCTTGGCTGCTCAGCTGGGAGAAGGAGGATGGAGGCATCTGAGGCATTTGTGGGGACACTTGGAGTGGCTGCCCCTCCACCTGCCTGCTGGGAGGGCCTGTCACTTCACAGCCCCACTGCCCCAGCTGAGTGCAGGACAGAGTATTTATTCTAAAAATAAATGTCAATTAAACTGGTGCCTCCCTACTGAGCCAGGCCAAGCTGGCTGCCAGTGGAAGGCCTGGGTGCACCTCCTGAAGGCTCTCTACCCACTGCACTGGTGAAGGAGCACGTTGCAAGCTGGGAAGGCTCTTGGCAGAACTGGCCTCCGCTGTGGGACCCTGGTCCATGCTGCTCTGCCTCCCCAGCAGCCCGGCACGGAGGAAGGCCAAGGCTTGTTCTGCGGCTTGAGGTCTTTGGCTTGCACAGGGGAGGGACTTCCCAGCAATGAGAGCTGTCGGGTTCCCGAAGGAAGCTGGCCCAGGAGTATGTCGGGGTGACCCGGAGCTGGCGAGGTCTGCTCAGATGTGCACCTGCAATCCCTTTGTGGCCTGGGCTGGGGGTAGGCTGCAAGGGAGCTATCTGCAGTGGCAGCGGGAGGGGAGCCCTCAGGAGAAGCCCATGCTGGCACCCAGGAGGGGCCCCACCGCCTCTGCACATGGCCCTGCCCTGGGAGGAGTGGGCCAGGCACCATCTGGTAGCCAGGGTCCTGAGCACTGCGTGAACTTTCATCTCCAGAGCATAGGTCCAGGGTCCTAAAGGCCACCGTGTTTTTCTTTTTCTTTTTTTCTTTCTTTCTCTTTTTTTTGGTGGAATTGGGGATTGAACTCAGACCCTCGCATTGCCAGGCAAGCACTTATTCTACTGAGCCATCTCCCCAGCCCCCTAAAGGCAACCTGGTGAGATAAATGGGGCATGCGTCTCTCCCAGCACTACCCCCTGCCCCTATTGTTCCATGTGTGCAGTGGGGTGGGGGTAGCACGCAGGCAGATCTGCCTCCTCCCTCCAAACCTGGGCCAGAACCCAGGGCCAGGTTTGAGTCTGCTGGGCCTGTGGCAGATAGGTCGCATGCCTGGGGTACTCTGTCTGCAAGTGCCAGGGCAGTGTCCTGCCTGCCAATGGTGAGGGTGGGGCAGGGGAATATCCAGCTCTACCTGGAAGGGGAGATTAAGTGGTCAGGAAGAGGAAGTGGAGAGGTTGGGGTTCCAGGCTGCTGGCCAAGCTGGGGATGGGGTGGAGAATGTAACTGTGGGTGCTGACAGGCTGTCCTTGGGCCCAGGGAGAAACGGGCTGCCATAACTGGGGCTCAGGGGTATGAAGGGCATGTCTGACTGTGGAGGAGGGATCTGTGGGAGGAGCAGGGCAGTCACTGGCCACTGGCTCCCTGACCAGCTCCACTGTAGCCCTGGGGGGGCGTCCTAGTGGAAGGGGCCAGCAGCAGTGGGTGGGGTGGGGGATGGCTCATTTGCCCGGCTCCAGTCAGTTCTCCCCAGGGAAACTGAATCTCAGCTCTGGCCAGACTGGACCTGCGCAGCCTCATGGAAAGCAAGCTGGAGGCTCCCAGGGCAGGCTGGGCAATGGCAGGTCTTGGTGACTTAGGCGAGTTCCTTTACCTCAGCGTGCCCCAGTTTTTCCAGCTGGGAAATGGGTCAGCACCTCCCAGGCTGGGCGAGAAGGCAAGAGCCAACCACAAGCCAAGCCCCGGCTGCCCTGCCATGCAGTGCTCCAAGTGCTCCAGAGCCCTGGTCTGCAGGGAAGTCCAAGATGGCCCTGGATGCAGACCCCACCTGTGATCAAGCACGGGCTGGGCAGCTCCCTGGTGAAGGGATGGAGGCTGGGACTCCCCCAGAGCCTCAGGACTGTCTTCCCGAGCGTTTCTAGATCTGGAGACGGAAGTCAGGTTTCCTGGCAGAAACCGTGTGCACAAGCGATCCTCGGGTCTCTGCAAGAGCATCAGCGTGTTCCCCGGCCTTGCCAAGAGCTGGGCAGTGGCTGAGGCCAGCACTGGCCTCCCACAGCACCGTGTGGGGAGCAGGAGGTGACAGCAGCTTCTGAGGGTATAGTGGGAGGGTAGGCAGCAGGAGGCTGTCCCATCCCAGTGTGGAAGCTGCTGGCTGGGTCAACTGGGGCCTTGCTGTGGGCCTCGCGTGCATTCCTGGTTATTGTCCAGGCCAAGGTAGGGTAACAGTCTGCTGGCCAGTTGTCTGGCTGGTGTGTGTGTGTGTGTGTGTGTGTGTGTGTGTGTGCACTGCATTTGCCAGCCCCGCATGGAGGGCTCTACCCATGCTCTGTGTGCCCAGCATAGGGCAGGACAGCAGCCCCTCATAGTCAGACCCCAGCCCCCGCCAGCTGCTCTGACTCCCACCTCTTCTCTGCCCACCTGCCCACCATGGGGCTTTCTGCTCCTCCCTCTCCAATATCCCAGGTCCTTCTTGAATGGGCGCTTCCTGGTCCTCCCTGGCCCTCCCCTCCCCTGAGCCGAGGCCCCACTCTGCGAGCCCAGCGTCCTTGAGGGTGTGTAAGGCAGGGCATTCGGGTTGAGGGGTGCTGTGTTGTGTGAACACCTAATGGCCCAGGGCAGCATGAGCAGCAGGAAGAGGGGACCAGGCCATCCACCCAGCATGAGCTCCTAGGACTTCCTGCCTCTGCTGTCCCTGGGGTCCCCCACCTAGGCCCCGCTGGAGTGTCCTAAGCTGCACTGGGACCCCGCAGGAGGCTGAGGCTCGTGAATGGCACCAGATCCACTCTGCCTTCCCCTAGGTGGAGCCCTACGGTCTCCTCCAGGAACCCAGTCTCCATGTGTCGAGTGGGTCTCCGTGTGTCGAGTGGAGCTGCTTGCTGTGGAGGGTTGTCCTCAGAGGTCCAGGCACCAAGGGTATGCTTCAAGTGTCAGCCAGCGTGTTACACAGCCTGACCCTCTTCCTTCCTTGCCTAGTGACTTTGGTGCTTTCCCTCCAGGCCCCATCCTCTGCAGTCCCCTGCTCATGGGCACAGCATTCTCAGTGGTCAGTGGTGGCTCCTGCAGAGCCCCTCACCATAGTCTAGAAGGGGACAGGAGGCTGCAGAGGATGTGGCCCCAAAGCTACCATCCCCAATCTCATTTCTCCCTGTCCTACACAGAGACCCCTTTGGGGCTGCAGCAGGCCACCATCGTCATCCATCCTCTGGGTCAGGAGGGGTGGAATGGGCTTGTTGGGGACTGTGCCCTGGAGCTGTGCAGGGTCAGCTGCTCCTGGTGCCGCCTCAAAATGGCCTTGTTGGGGCCCAGGAGCTGGTGTGGGGCTCCCTGGTCTCGGCCCAGCCCGGGTCCCTGTGATCTGAAACTGGGGCGCACTGAACTGTGAGCACGCTGTGCCTACCTCAGCCCTCCCCTCCCTGGAGTCTTGTGGACAGTCACTGCAGGGGCCTTAGCTTTAATGTCCTGCTTAATAATAAATCCACACAGATCACAATTTAAAGGCACATTAAGGATTAATAGTGAAAAGTTCTCCGCACACTCCCTACCCCTGAAACTGGTGCTTCCTAAGCAACTTGCACCCATAGTGAGATTTCTGGTTTTGCTAGAAGCATCGTCGGGAGGAGGATGGGATGAGCTGTCTGTCTTGATTCCTATGAAAGCAAACCCCTGATGAACTCAAGGCTCTGGTCGGACAGAGTCCCCAGACCTGGGCAGTGCGAAGTCTTGGAAGAAGAAGTCAAGGTAGCACTTGCTGTTTCTGGACCTTCCTGCGCCTCAGGGGTTCAGGACTGCTGTGAAGAGCCAGCCTCAGTTCTGGAGACCCTGGCTGGAGCTCAGGGCTTCTCCTTCCCAGCTAGGCGGCCCAGGGAAGATCCCCTGCCCCTGTGGGCTCTGCCTTTTGTGCAAAATTGGGTAGGAACAGAAGGAAAGCTGCTGTTGGTCGGAGGTGGCCTGGCCTGAGATGCAAGCCCTGCAAAGAGCTCACGCTGCCGCCCCCACCCCTCAGCCCCCCACTCATACAGCAAGTAGGCCCAACAGAAAGGCCCAGTGGGGTCTGGGTTAACTCTGCCCTTCCCCACCATCTTGCAGCCTCTGGAAACTCCAGGGACAGTGCCTGCCACGTGAGCAGCTGTCATTGGAGGGACCCAGGATGAGCCAAGACTGCAGCTGCTTCCTGGAAATCACGCTGGCTCTGAGAACAGCCTGGCTGCAGCTGGCGCTGTCCATGCCCAGCAACAGGAGGTTTGTTTGGCATCTTCACTCACCACCAAGAGCCCCTGGGTCAGGCTGGGCACCCTTGGGTGCAACCCACTGGTGAAAAGCCCCATGGCCCAGGGGTTCCTCCCAGCTGCCACTTCCAACAAGCACTCTTGCCCCGTGCTCTTCTGAGGTGCTGGGCTTGGGTTCTTCTGCCTGGGCCTGCTTTCTCCCACAGGGCCAGCAGTCTTCAGTGAAAGACCTGCGCTCCTGGAACCCTCAGAGCCGTTTCCCCATCTGCCAAATACGAAGAGGAGTTCTGGACTAGGCTTAAGGGGTGTGAGACTTCAACAGTACACAGATTCCCACAGGCAGGGCACTGCCTTCACGTGTCCCCTCCGGCCAGTGCCTCGAGGTAGCAGCATCCCAAGAGTGTCCTGGTCAGCCGTTCTGGTCATCCCATGATCCCAGGGCAGTCAGCAGACTCCAGCCAAGGCCTTGGGCAGCAGTGAGGGACCCTGGGCCAGTCACTTCCTCTCTCGGGAAGGCTGGGGATGGTAGGGACCCTGGCCTCGAAGCATCTGCTTCCTTCCTGACTCAGTTTCCTTGGTTCATGGAGGTGCAAGGCCCTGCCCAGGGCAGTCAGTGAGCATAGCGAGAAGTTCCCAGGCCTGGAGAGGAGGAAGAGGGGAGCTCCTTTGTGGTGGCAGAGCAAGGCTGGGCTGCAGGAAATGCAAGTCATCACGCAGAGGGAAGTGGGTCCCCCGGACTGCTGGAAACACTGTAGTTAGTGCACCCTGGCCTTCCCGGGGGAACCCACTGGGCCAGTAGCCAGCACCCCAGGCCCAGGGCCATGGCCTGAGCGGCTTCTCCCTATAGCCAGGGCACGACTCGACTGGACTCAAAGCTCTCAGCACCTTGTGACCTCCACCTGGCCTCTGTCCCCGCCAGGACGCAGGCCCTTCTGCCTTAACTTCCTCTCCTTGGAGCACTTCCCTCTGCTGCCTTCTCAGACCCAGGCCATGTGTGGGGAGGGCCAGCAACCACAGCCCTGTGTTATCTCTGGCCAGACAGCCTACAGAGGCGCTCCTGCCCTGCCCAGTTAATTGAACAAGACAATGGAGATCAGGGAGGTTTTTTTCAAAGATGTAAAAGGAATCAGGTGTGGTAATGAATGTCTATAATCCCTATACTCCTGGAGGCTGAGGCAGGAGGACTGCAAATTTGAGCCCAGCCTGGATAATTTAGCAAGACCCTGTCTCAAAATAAAAAATAGAGAGGGCTGGAGAATTAGCTCAGCGCAAAGGCCCTATGTTTAATATTCAATAGCATTTAAAAAAGAAAAAAGAAAAAAAGAGAGAAGACAGTACTTCTTTCTACATCTAAATTCTCTGGGCTAAGTTCTTCCTTGTTCCTGGCGTAAATACGTATTCAGCTGCGTCTCAGGCCCCGAGCAGCGTTGGAGAAGCCTTGCGGTACCGCGCAGCTCCACCTTCACAGGAACATGGTCGGTCCTATCTCTGCCTGTTTCCTCCTCTGTGAGAAGGGTGCTGCTCAGTACTCACTTGCCAAGATTTTCTGCATTTAAAGCACCTAGAACAGAGCCCAGCACCTGTGCCTGTCCAGAGTCAACTGTCCGCCCCAGGAGTTGAAAGCAAGGCCAGGAATGCTGATTTGCACATGTGTGTTCACAGCAGCCAAAAGGTGGCAGCGACCCAAGAGTCTGTGGAGGGACGGCTGGTGAAATGTGTCCATTTCCACAGTGGAGCGCCGTCCAGATGTAACAGGCAGGACTTTGGGACACAGCCTGTAGCGTGGGTGAACCCAGCCACGAGAGGGCAAGTCCTGTGTCCTTCCCCTTGTTGGAGGTCCCTGGAGTAGACACTGCAAGGGCTGGGGGCTGCTGGCTCAGGGGAGAGCTGGGAGTCCATGTCGAAAGGGGACAGAGGTCCAGTGGACCAGCTCTAGGGGTGGGACAGTAGACCCGGTGCCACTGACACTGAAGCAGTGACACTGTGGTTAAAGAGCAACTGGTGTTGTCTGTATTTCATCATAATTAAAACCAGAGCAGGCTGTCACTGCTGGAACCTTCAGAAGGGCCTCCAGCAAGGAAGGGACCTAGTCTCCTGCTCCCCTGCATACCTTCCTGGCCAGGCTGCCCCACCCAGCCCTGTGGAGGTGGGAGTGGATGATCATGCCTAATTCTGACTTCCTGCCGAGGGCAGCTCTGTGCCTGCAGCCTCTGCAAGTGCCGCCCTGCCTCCAAGAGGGGCACAGCAGCTGGTGCCCTCGGGCCATCCCCCTCTTCTGTCTCTCCACCTTCCCACCCCCATCCAGCTCCATATTTCCCTGTGCTGGGGATTTCACAGGGGACATTTGACCCTCAGGCCAATTCAGAGGGATAAGTGTCTGTGACACAGGGGCCAGCAGCATCACCCCTCCTATTCTGCCCACTGCACTGGGTGAGACACGGGGCCACTGAGGACAAGGCTGTTGGCCCATGGACCCCACACTGACCAGGGTTCGGCATAGACGTGGATCGTTAGGACCCAGTGTCCCTAGCAAATTCCCAATCTGTTTGGGATTAGGCGGGGGGTGGGTGGAGGGAGCCGGGCAGCTGCCTGCTGGGGTTGCACAACCATCTCCGGGAGGCCTCCCGCTGGATGAACCCTGCTGGGGCGGGCCCTTGGTCTCCCCATCTGTGTCCCAGATCAGGCAGGACCACCCCCGGTCTGGACACTGGTTTCAGGGGCTTGCCTGAAAATGGCCATCCCTGGGGGCCTGAGGGACAGCTGCAATGGAGCCCCTGTCTAAAAGCCACTGGCAGCCCCTTTCACCCCCCCCCAACTCCCGATCCCCCATGGGCAGGATGGATGCTTGCCCTGGCTGAGCTGGCTCCTAGCCACCACTCGGGAGAGGAAGAGGAAGTTCTCAGTCCCCGGGACGCCCCCTGAGCACAGCCCCCATCAGTCACACTTCTGCCCTCAAAGACCTGTGGGGGGAGCAAGAGGGACCAAACAAAGGGGGGAGGAGCTCCGGCTAAGGCTCCAGAGGAAGCCGGTGCCCGCGGGAAATTCCTTAATGACAGGGTCCGGAGGGCAGGCACTCTACGATGTGAACTCGCGGGGAGTGGTCTATGGCCCCCCTCAAGCCCCGGCCCACCCCTCGGGCTTCCCAAGTCCCCCGGAGGCCGACCCTGAGAAACAGTGTAGACGGAAAACTGAGGACTAGAAGGGGACTGATCCGACTCGAGACCGAGCTGGGCGGGGCACAGTGGGGGGCAGGTCTGAGCCTGGGGTGCGTGGGGGTGTCTGGAACCAGTGCCCAAGGTCCTGTCCGACTTCAGGGACGCTCGCAGGGGCTCCTGGCGGTTCTGCCTGGTGACCTGGAAAGTCGCCTCACGCTCCGAACGCCCCCTTCCAAGCAAGGCCACGGAAGCACAAGTCCCCAAGGACACGGGATCCCGGGAGTGACAGCCTCAGCGGCGGAGGAGGGGAGCCCTAGCGCGGGGATGTGGGGTGCGGGGCACGAGGCAGGGCGCGGCCGGCTGGCAGCCAATCGGGGGTCACGTCGGACAATGCCGGGTGGGTGGCTCAGCCAGCGGGTTTTCCGCGGTTACGGTGCACAGGGTCGTGGTGTTGGGAGTGGGCGTGGTTGGTGGGCGGGGCGGCGGGAGTGGGAGGGGCGGACCTCATCTATTTTCAGGCTGCCCCAAGTGGGCCCAGGACAGCAGCTGCCCGGTCCGGACAAAGTAAGTGACCTCCGCCACGGTGCTCTGTCCCTGCCACCCGAACCCTGGGTTCCGCCCGATCCCCTGAGGGAATGACCTCGCAAAACCGACAGGACCAAGGCAAGCCTCGGCCCTGGGGTCTCCACCCAGCCCCTGCTAGTAGGTTGCCTGGCAGTGTGATGCAGGCCATGTGTCTTCCCTGCTTGTGTGCCAAAGTGACCTCAAGGGGTGGACATCAGGTCCTCGGTGGGTGTCTCTGTCACCGCAGCCAGAGCCTAGAGGGGTACTGCATGGATCTCTGCCCTGATCCTGAGAAGTGGGGGTGGTGCCTAGGTGTGGTCACAGGGAGTATGGCTGTTGAACCACAGGCTGGGGTCACACCATGTGGCACAGAGCAGGCCCTTCCTACTTCATGGGTCCAGCTGGGAGCCGGGCTTACAGGAGGAACGCTTCTCTCCCCTCTTGGGCTGCACTGGAGCTGGCAGACAGAGGGACCCAGGATTCACCCTTGCAGGCCCATGCTCTGCAGTGCCATGTGTGGGGGCCTCAGCTTCACATCTCAGACAGGGACGAGGCAGTCGGTGGTGGGTGTGTCTAGTCTACACCCATGGGAGTGCCACTGAGCCTACAGCTGCTGATTTCTACTGTGCCAGCTGACAGCGATGGAGCTGGGAAGCAGGCAGCAGTTTTGGGCTTCAGAGTGGCAAGGGCCACAGTGCCGGAGCCCGGGAGACAGGCAGTGAGAGTGAGGTGGGGCTGGTGGGCATGGGCACCACAGGTGCGGCTGAGCGGCTCCACAGGCCAAACCAGCTTCTGCGGGGCTTGGCAGGCACTGGGATGGGCTGGGAGGGGAAGAAGTGCCTGGCCCACCAACCTGGAAACTTGGCTTGGGCTCGCCGGAGCGCCCCTGCTTGTCCTGGTCTGGCACTCCAGCCATCCAGCACCAGGTGGGCAGTTGACATCCAGGGGTCAGGATCAGCGCCTGGGCACCTGGCAGGAAGGGCAGGGACTGGCTAGGAGGGACTCAGGCATTCCAGATGCGCTGGAGCTCCGGCCAAGCTTCAGGGTGGAGACTACACCCTGGGAATGGGACAGGAAGCTGGCAGGGGGACCTGGACGGCACAGTGAGGAGAGTTCAGTCCGAGCCCCCAAGCCTCTGTGCTCAGGGAGCACCCTGTCCTTAGCCCTAGTTTCCCTCTTGTCATGTGACTCATTGTGTATGCCTTGCTGAGGGGTTAGAAGGTCCCTCCGAGTCATCCTGATGGCTCTGTGTTTGCTCTGGAGGGTGGGGAAGTAGGTGGCACTATGGTCCTGTGGTTCTAGTCACGCAAGCCCCTGCTCCACTCTGGTAGGCCCAGCTATGCTTTGATAGTGGGGAGGGACCTGCCTTCCCCAGGCTGCTTTCTGAGCAAGAGAATGGCAGGAAAAATCAGGACAAGTGACCTGGCTTCCAGGCCCAAGCTGAAAGACCACAGGGATATTGTGAACCTAAGTAACCCCACTTGGTGGGAAAGAAAGAAGGGATGGGCACCCCAGAAGGACGCAGGAACGGAGGCTTTTGTAATGAGCCCGAGCTAGTGAGCCTGGCCTCTGGCAGCTGTGGGTCTCTGGTTCAACCCCCTCACTGAATGAACCCTTTGCTGCTGAGGATGTGTGACATATCACTGAGGTCTGGTCCCACACTGCCAGGACCTGGCTTCTGTAGACATGAGCCCTCAGTCCCTATAGAAGGTCACCTCGTGGCATCTTTCTGAAATTCTACAGCTGGAGGAGAATTTTCTCTTTCTGGTGCTTTTGCAGCTGGTGTAGTCCTGTCCTTTCTGGACCTCTGTCCCTGCTTTGTCTAAATGAACAGTAAGTTGGGATAGGGTGGTACACACCTATGATCCTCATACCCAGGGTGGCTGCAGCAGGAGGACCTCTATAAGTTCGAGGCCAGGCTGGGCTACATAATGAGTTCCAGGCCAGCCTGAATTGCATGTGGAGACCCTGTTTCAAAAAGACAAAATAAGTTGGTGCACAGCAGCCCCTGCCCTTTCCATCCCAGGACCTGAATGTCCCTGCCGCCCCCGTTCTCTCTGCTGAGATGCACTGAAGGCCCTGCTGTCTTTGTCCAGAAGGGGCCCAGGACCTGAGCAGGGGAGTGGAGGTCACACAGATCACACTTCAGGTCACTTCGGACTGCACACCCAGCCTGGGGCCGGGTCCCCTGTCAACACTAACCACTTCTTTCCCATCAGCAACCTACAGACTTGAGCCAGGGTGGTGCTGAAGAAGATGATGTTCCAAGGCTTCCTGGACCAGCATCCTGTGCCTGGGACCCTCGACTTCCTTGGACACACCCCGAGTTTGTCCTTCACATCAGAGGTGGACTCAGAGGCCTCTATCTCCGAGGCCTCCTCTGAGGATCTGGCACCACCTCTGGAGGCTGAGGTAGCTCCAGAGCGTCACAGGGTAGAGGCTGTGAAGAGCAAGGAAAAGAAGAAGCCAAGAGCACTGGCCAACATGTTAAACATGTTCAAAGGAAAGAAGAAGAAGGGTAGTTCCCCCAGCTCAGCACAGCCAGAGCCCAGACCAGGGCCGGGTAGCCCGGCACCCACAGGTAGGCAGGGGATGGGGCTGCCCTCCGGAGGTGCAGGCCTGAGCAGGGCAAGGCCTCACCGGGTGGGGTCCCAGCTTCCCCCTGCCCTGGGTGCCTCCTCACAAGGGTCTCTGGTGCAGTGGAGGAGCTCAAGGCAGCGCTGGAGGGCGGACGACTGGAGGCAGCAGGGTCCCTGCTGGTGCTGGAGAGGGAGCTGGCAGCCTTGGCCTCTGCAGGCAAGCTGGATGCAGAGGAGCTGGTGCGGCGACAGAGCAAGGTAGAGGCGCTGTACACACTGCTGCACAGCCAGGTGCAGAGAGTGTTGTGCCGCCCCCTGGAGGCTGCGCCTGAGCGGCTGCACCAGGCCCTGGCGGTGGTGGCCGAGCAGGAGCGCGAGGACCAGCGGGCAGCGGAGGCCGGGCCTGGGGCAGCAACGCTGGTGAACACACGGCCGCGACACTGGCTGCAGCAGTGGCGGCACAGCGTGGCAGTGGTGGCCTCTGAGCGCATGGGGGCACGGCCAGCTGCACACACCGAGGGGCGCTCGGAGGTAGAGGACGCCTTCCTGCACATGGGCCGCACCATGAAGGAGGACCTGGAGGCCGTGGTGGAGCGACTGCGGCCGCTGTTCCCAGCTGAGTTTGATGTTGTGGCCACCTACGCACGCAGCTACCACGAGCACTTCGCTGCGCACGTGGCAGCCCTGGCGCAGTTCGAGCTTTGCGAACGTGATGCCTACCTGCTGCTGCTCTGGGCGCAGAACCTCTACCCGAAGTGAGCTGGTGGGCGGCGGGCTGTGGGCTGCAGGGGCCCTGGGCTGACGATGCAGGGTGGGACTGGGGCAAAAAGGGCTGGGGCCGGCCCAGGGAGGGAGGCTGAGGCAGGAAGGTCACCTAGAGTTTGCAGGCAGCCGAAGCTTTATACTCAGTTGTTCCAACACAAAGCAAAACAGCAAGAAAGGGGCTGAGCCTTGACCATAGGGTGAGGGTACTTCCTGGACCCCAGCGCATTCTGCAGTGGGGGAAACTGAGACACAAAGACTGGTTTCATTCTTGAGGTCCCAAAAGGAGGAGGTAAGTGAGCAGCTGCACAGATGTGCCTGGGCTTGGGGAGGCCAGGCCAGAGGTCCTGGTAGGTGACCAGGCCAGGCTGACTATGAGCCAGAGTCCATGTACTGAGGATGGAGCGTCAGGCAGGAGTTGGGGGTGGGATGGGGCAGAAGGTAGGCAGCGGGCAAAGGTTGAGCCATCCTTCGTGTTGGGGTTGACCTGGCAGGCCAGGGGTGCAACGGGCCTGAGTGTCTCGTTAGTGTGAGTCTTGTGTGCCTCTCACCCTGTGAGCCCACAATGGGTTCTGTCCACTGAGGAGCTCCAGGCAGTGCTGGAGGAGGGCAGCTGGTACCATCATTCACCCAAGCTGCAGGGGGGAGACCAGCACTGCGGCATGGGGTGCTGGAGGCCAAGGGTTCTTATGGAGGGTCTTCAGGCCTATGGGAGGAGGGAGGCATAGGGGGCAGAGGCAGTGTGAGCCAGGCTGAGGGTCCGGGGGCCACTGGTGCCAGTGGGGCAGCCCATGGCAAGAGGCCAAGGCACAGCAGGGTGGTGGGTACGAAGCCAGTAGGGCACAGGACACTGGGCTCAGGAAGACAGCATAGCCCTGAACCAGAGCTGCTGGCTGGTCCTGACTCATCAGGAAGCGCTGGGCACTTGGACCTCTGCCTGTCGACCTTCCTGTCTCGATAGCTCGGTGTCTCCAAGCCCAGCACCCAGGGGTGAGCAAAGCAGGAAACTGAGTCTAGCCTGGGCGTGGAGTCTAAGCAGGCATTGTTGAGGCCACTGTGGCCAGAAGTGTAGGGAGAAGAGGACGCAGCTGCACCCGGCCTGGGTGGGGACGTGGAGAGGGCCATTCTTAAACCTCTAGGTGGACAAAGGCCCCTTCAGAAGTGCTAGGACTCCCCGGGGGCCCTGCAGCAGCGCCATGGGAGTGGGTGACGAGGCCTCTGCCAAGTAGTCGGGGCAGCCGCCCTTCCTGTGCATGCTGGCCCCCGCTGCTGGGGGGAGTGGCAGGGTGGCTCTGGGAGAGGGCCTATCTGAACACCTCCCTGGCCTGGGGGCACGGGGCCTGAGGTGATGGTGGTGATGGCTTCGCAGGGGCAGAGGCAGCCTCCATGCTTAGGCGTGGGACTCTTTCATTGTTCCTTTATCGACTGATCTTTGAGCTGGGCCTCGTTGTATACTTCAGCCAGTCATGAGCTACCGAGGTAATCCAGGCAGGTCCCGATCCTGCCTCAGTCTCCTGAGTACACTGCTGCCCTGGCTTTGGCCACTCTTTTAGAGCCAGGGTGTTAAGGGGAAGTAGGAAGATGCATAAGAATTCTAGGATTTGGGGCCTGAGCCCCACTGAGCAGATGGTTGACATGTGTCTTGATATCGTGCTGTAGGGAGAGTGGAGGGTGTGGCACCGCTGAGGACCTGTCCCCTGGGTCCATTTTCCTTATGCCAGCCTTGTTCTGCCCACAGTGACATCCTCAAAAGTCCCAAGCTGGCAGCGGAGCTGCAGGCTGTCAGCCTTGGGAGCCTGCTGACCCCCAAGCAGATCCGGTCACTGGAGGCCACGTTTCTGTCCAGTGAGGTGGTGAGTCCCAGACCAGGAGAAACAGAGGGCAGGATGTGGGGATAGGCAGGTGAAGAGATGATGACAGAGCTTCTGGGAGAGCAGGGCACTGACCACTGGCCCCACACCTATACCCAGGCCAACGTGAAAGGGCTGATGGCCCGTGCCTTGGAGCTGGAGGCACAGCGCTGGGCCCAGGACGTGGCTCCGCAGAAGTTGGACGGCCGCTGCCACAGTGAGCTGGCCATCGACATCATCCAGGTACTTCGGGCTGCATGTGTGCACACGTGTGTGTGCAGCTGGGGTACCCGCCCACCCATTCTCATGTCCACACGCATCCCCCGTCCCCAGTGCCCCTGGCTGGCCCTGATCACCCATTGCACCCCTGCAGATTGTCTCACAGGGCCAGGCAAAGGCTGAGAACATCACTCCCGACCTAGGGAAGCAGATCAAGCAAGTGCTGCTGGTGGAGTTGGCCGCGTTCCTGAGGAGGTGGGTGCGTCCAGGTCCCTGCGGCCTCTTGTCAGGGCTGTGTCTCTCCTGCCTCCCTGGAGCCTGAGCTAGGTCAGCCCAGTGCTTGCCCCTGATTTTTGGTACCAACACCCTGTGCCTGGACCCACCTTTGGGCACCAAGAGCCACCAGGGATCAGTGTAGATGCTTCCTGTCCCCACCTACGTCCACCAAGTCCCCAGCAGAGCAGGCCTTAACATCAAAGAGGACACCCTGGGAGACCCTGCCATGGTGTCTTCCCACTGCACCCCCAGTCTCCGTCCCAGAGTAAATTTAGTGGGTACCCTCTGCCGAGGACCAGGCACAGCACGTTGCGGTCACCCAGGTGCATGGGGCAGGGGCAACCATGGACAGCGAGGGAGGACTGCATTAATGCAGGGAGGGCAGTGCCTGGGAGACGGCTGCGGTCTCAGTGTCTGCTGGCCCTGAAAGGAGCCCCTTCCTGTTTCACCAGCTACCAGCACACCTTTGATGAATTTCTGGAAAGAGGCAAACAGCTGACAAATTACAGGGCCAATGTCATTGCCAACATCAACAACTGCCTGTCCTTCCGGTGAGGGTCTGGGCAGATTCGCCAGGGAGAGGCGGGTGGAAGGAGGAGCAGCCACAGAAGGTGTCATGTCCCACGTTAGGGAGGCTGAGGCCGTAGGATGCACCAGGCGCTACAGCCACCACGGGTGTGTTCTGAGAGCGGCTGCTGAGGGCTCAGGGATTGTGCAAAACAGATGGCAGAGTGGCGTGGCGAGGGGAATGGCTTGCCCTTGGGGGGTGCAGGTACATGCTGGAGCAGGGCATGGGTGGAAGGACTTGGACTGGCGTCTTCAGGGACTTGGGGCTCTAGAGTAAGTAGTTTTGGAAGATCCACTGGGGATCCCTGCATGTGGGGCTATACGCTGGACAGGCTGAGACCTCCTGGCATCCACCACCCAGGACGTCCATGGAGCAGAGCTGGCCAATCGTGCAGGATCCCCGGAGACACCTGCTGGAACCCCTGAGTGAACTCCGGAGCCATGGCTTTGACACTCTGCTCCAGAGCCTGTTCCTGGACCTGAAGGTGATGGAGCTTTCTTCTGGCAACCACCCTGAGCCTAGCGTGGCAGGGAGGGCACAGAGGGGCTCAGGAGGCCTGGAGAAGCCCCCTCATCCCTCCGCCACACTGCTGCCCCAGACCCTCCTGCATGTCCCAGCTCTGTAATGATGCCACAGCCCAGCTCCTGGGTTCGGGTTTCAGTAGCCGCCATCACGTCTCTGAGGGGCCGAGAAGTCTGCAAGGGGTATAGCTGAGGGTCCTTTGAAAGGCTGAGGAGGGTTCACTGCCCCATGTCCCTGGAGGCCAGGGACAGCTGGTGGGTAGTGAAGCCTGGGGCAGTGATTCTCGGTGACTTGGCACAGGTCTCAAAGGGCCAGTCCAGCAGAAGGCCTTGTTTATATAGGAATTTATTTATTTAAGAGGAGGCAGTGGAAAGGCCTCGGGGCCAGCAGACAGGCTGGCCTGACTCCTGCATAGCAGCTAGATGACCTTGGAGGAGAGTGCAGACTGCCTCCGCTTCCCGTCCCTGGGGAGCACGACCTGCCTCTGTGAGCCCAAGTCTCCAGCCCCTACTTGGGCTGTGTGTCAGCTGAGGGTGACCAGGCCTGGAGCCCTTCCTCTCCAGGGTGTGACTAGACATCCTGCCTCTCTCCTGTCTCAGCCTCTGTTCAAAAAGTTCACAAAGACTCGCTGGGCGGCGCCTGCCGAGACCCTGGAGGAAATCCTCACCACTGTGGGCAGACAGCTGCCGAAGTTCTGGGAACTTCAGGACTGCTTCCGGGAGGTGCGGAGCCCCTGAGCTGGGGCTGGGGCTGCCCAGACCCCCTGCCAACCGACGTGTGTGTGCACCCTCACCCCACACATGCCCCAGAGCACATGTGCATCCCTGTGCTCTGTTCTCCCTGGATTCCCAGCTTCGGGGCCTCTGGGGAGGTGGTGAGCTCCTGTCATCGGTTGGCTCACGCCGCCCCGGCACTGCCCAGCAGGAGCTCATGGAAGCCGTGCACCTGCACCTGGTGAAGGAGTACATCACCTGCCTCAGCAAGTGCCCGCTGGTCCTCAAGAAGGAAGAGCAGCAGCAGCAGCTGGCAAGGAACATCCTGGCCAACGCTGAAGCCATCCGGCTTTTCTGCACGCAGAACGTGAGCTTTGCCCACCCTCAGGACCTCCGCAGCCCCTCAGGGTCTCCAAGCTCAAGCAGTCGTTGCCCTGAGCCCAAAAGCCGTGGGGCAGCGCAGCCTCCCACAGCCTGACCTTGTCTCCAGGGCTCCCCTGCGACCTGGCTCTACCCTGCCCTCCCTAAACTTGCTGAGATCATCCACCTGCAAGACCTCAACGCCATCAAGATGGAAGTCGCCACCTATGCCACCTCATACCCTGACTTCAGGTGAGAACAGGGGGCCTGGGACCAGCGCGTCTGTGTGGCCCAGCCAGGCCCGACAGTGGATCCCTGGGGTGTCAGCCCCTCGGATGCATAGCCCTGTTGCTGCCCTGTCACTAAGATGCAGTTGTGTGTTGACTCCCTGGTCTGAGCCATCAGGCTGCCGCTGGCTGTCCCCATCCCAAGCTGAGGCTGGGCGAACAGCAGGGCCGTGTCCAGGGCAGCACGGTGAGTTAGCAGCTGTGAGCGGACAGCCATACCCTGTGGGTCCCCAGGCCATGTGCTTAGCAGCACATGTTGCTGCCACTGAGAGAGGAAACTGACAGCCCCTGGTCTCCCCGGTGTAGGGGTCTTTGGGCACTTGGACCTGTGTGTCCCAGCTTGGGACTAGAGGATCAGCCCTGGCCATCTGGGGGCTGGGTGTTGGTTCTCAGAGCTGCATCCTCTGACGGGGGAGGGGGGGCGTTTGAACGGGCTTTGACTGGGACCGATCTTACTGCAGTCCCGCCTGGCTGAGCTACCCCTTCAATCCATTTGTGCATCTGTCTTCTCACATATCACAGACTCTCAGGCCTGTGAGCTCCCAAACAAGCGACACAGGCTTGCATAAGAGGCAGGTGACGATTTCAGGGCTTCCAGGAAGAGCCAAACCCTCTGACAGGACTTGAGGTTCTCTGGGGGCGGAGACAAAGAACTTCTCTGAGCATAAACCATATTTACTTGGTTTTCAAACAAAGGTGGGGGATTCTGAGGAAGGTATCGATCTGAGCAGGACCTTGAGAAATATTTTCCTAAGTAGTAAATTGTGTCAATCAGGAAAACTAAATTATCTCTAGGTTGACATTTATTGTAAGTGTGGAGCGTGAGCTGCAGTCTCCTTTTAGTGGATTGAGGTTGGAGCCAAATGCCCTGCACGGCAACTTTGTCTTGTTCTTTGAGGTGTCACAACTTCACAGAGGTTCACTTACTATGAATCTGCTGCCCCCCACCAGACAAGGGGCCGAGCCTCAGACAGACTCACGAGGAAATATGGAGCCAAGTGGTTAATTTTAAATCCTGCTCAGCTGCTTCATAGTGGTCTCCATCATCCATCTGAGTACCCACATCCCCCACTGCTGAGCTACCTACCTCTCTCTGCCTGTGCATCTGAGATCATCCACACCTCGGATGCACAGCCAAGGAGCTGTCTGGAAAGGAGGGCTGACTGTTGTTGGTGCACATAAGTGGGGGGTGCGGGGTGCAGAGGGTATGGCCAGGGGCTCTGGGCCACTCCTGTTCTCTAGTCTGGCTCCTGGGGATCCTTCTAGGAGGGGGTTTGGTGCCCTTTCTGCCTGTCTATCCCTCTATCTGCTCACCTACTCTTCCACATAACCATCCATCCATCCATTCATCTGTCATCTATCCATTTTCCCATCCATCTATCCACCCATCTCCATGCATCTATCCATCTATTTCTCTATCATCCATCCATCCATGTCTCTATCCATCCATCCATCCATCATCCATCTCTCCATCCATCCATCCATCCATCCATC